GACCCTAGCCGCCCCAAATTCATCACTAATCACACAAGCGCAAGTGAGGCCCTTGGCCTTGTGTTATGCCAGACACAGGGGTGAGATTTCTCAACTTTTCAGTTGATTTCAGCTTTTTTTGTTGTGGATTTCAGCTTTTTTCCCCTCAATGGCTGTGTACAAAAGTGTAGGAGATTTCACAGCTCATCAGCTTCTTGATGCCTTTTTTTCAGCTGTTTTGAGCTATTTTTTTCATTGGTCAATCTCACCTCTGTGCACTACATCAATCCGTATTCCACGAGCACGAGCTTGATAATTAATTAATCTTAACGCAAACTTGATGTGCAGTAGAGATGTTATATGGGCTTATGCTTGCAAACAGTACGGTCATGACAGTCAATTTTGTAGCAGTGGGTTTTGTTTTTAGTGTAAAAATATCGAGGTGCGCTGAGCAGGAATAACTCATTATGCAGGCTTTGATGTGAACCGTGCAGTACAGTTATAGGTCACACTTTCTTGCCGTGGATCGACCAATCAGAGTTGAGAATGCAAGCCTGGTTGAGGATAAATATAGGAGAGTGGTTATTGAAAAACTTCTGGGGAAAAATGAACAAGAAAAAGTCATCTACAGATCAGTTTGGTATTTGTCCCCATTGTAGGTTGGTTCAGTCCTTGGATCCAATCTTAAATGCCTGTCGGGAGCTAGGACACAAATCATGTCTGATTTTACGTCCTGATTTCTGCCTTGAGAAAACTAAAATCCTACTCTGCGAGTGGAACATATTTCAGGTAGTGGGATCACATTCGAAAATGCTAGACTTAAGAATTTGTCCCAAGCTAATCAAACCTTCTCAGCATAAAAAGAACATTTTGCAGAAAGTATAATTGTGAAAAGTATCAAATCATTATCCAAGCTGCCTGTTTGAAATGTCTTCTTAAAGTGTGAAATTTAAGGAAAGAAACTGGACGTCGGAGTCAGTACTGTAGTCTGCTCTTATGAGCTGAGTCAAAATTGTTTCATGTGTGCTTTTCACAGAGAAGTGTACACTCGCTTGGTATCCAAGGGACAACTGGTACCCAAGCCCGAGCCACCGGTACCCAACATTCCAGCCAACATGAAGCCACAGAAAGGCAAGAAGTAGACAGGGTGCCTGACGATGGTTCCCTAACATCGATTCCTCTTAGCCAACCCTCTGTATATGCCTCATGTAAATATCTGTATATACTTGGATTCAAATCTGAAATTCATCAATATTAATCTTGCTGCAAGTACCATCGCATGTCAGATACCCAGGTATGTCAAAAAGGTTACATAATCATGTAATTGTAGTCAGATTTATGTGAATTATTAACTTTGATGGATTTGATCATGGTGCTATAAAGCTTGATAAGTTTATGTCCCTTTTACTGTAGTAATATATTCAGAGTTTATTGTGGATGTGCTGTTAAATAAGATTTTTATCTAAGATCAAGGCAAATCCAAAACGAAATATCACAAATTCTTTTGGTATGATTCATGCAATGAATTTTTCATAGACTCATTTCTTGTGCATCTTTATAATCTTCTCCAGTGTATAAAACTGTGTAAAATCCGTTTAGGGTAAGTTTATTGAAAAGTGCACTTTTTCAAACAGTACATTTGTTCAGGCCTTTCAGACAAGTGAGGGCGCTGTTTCCGTGATGTATATTAAGGAAGACACTGTTCGGTTTACACCTTTCCAGTATTTGGACCCCAAAATTGTTCTTTCGGAACATCTTTGAGAAAGGGTTTCTAATTGGTTATAATTATTAACACAACACTAAAGTAATTAGGAGTGTGCGTTCACAGGTGTTTTGGAAATGGGTACCCCGGTAGGCTGTTAAAAAGATAAAGAACTCTTAGTGAATGGCATTGGGTGTAATTCGACCAGACCATGTGCCTGAAACAGCGCTCTTTTTCACACATTGGAAGCATCACACTGTTCTAAATATTCGAGGAAAATCTCCCCACGTTTTATTAAATGAAATTGTTCCCTTAAATTTGTAACAAAATAGCTCTGCCCCTCTCTAAACTGCAGTTTTGACCACGGGACAAGGTTTTTAAGCGGCACAGTGATTTTTTTTTTAGAAATTCTGCCTTTCACTATTAAAGTTCACATAGATATTATAGGTTGAATTTTTTACTATTTAATAACTTTTTTACGGATACCAGGCCTTAAAAAATGGAACTGGGTTTTGACATTGACAGGCAGGTACCTTGATACCTGGCACAGGCCTACAGGGGAATGGAAATGACAGCAAAATCTGAAAAAATCCTGAACAATTTTTTTTATGCCTGGGATGACATCACAGGTTGGCTCAATAATTCGGACATTTTCACTGGAATCATAACCAGAAAGGCTCAGTACAATTCAAAGTAGCAAAATGAAAAATGAAAATAAAAACACAACTTTAAAGCACAAAGGCACAGTGCCTTTGGTTAGACCTAATAGCCAAGAAAAGTCAAGGATTCCAGCTGTAAGGTCAAATGTAGAACTTGTTTGTGAACAACTCCTCAGTAATTTCAAGTAGGCGATGTTGTTGTTCAGATATGACGTGATATCAACAAACTTAATATAGAAAAAATTCCACAGTTATGATTTCCTTCATATTGTAAGTTTACATGCTTTTGTGATTTTCCCTCAAATTGCCGTCCTTGAATTTTTTACCTTTTGGACTTAAAATCCATCCTGACTTCAAGAATTATATTTCAGTGCCTAATGTTGATCGTGCAAAGTTACAGGTAAAAGGAAGGTTCTTACTTGGCTTGTCAAATCAAATATTCGTGCTGCATATTCGTGCTGCAAATTCTTATTAGCACAAATTGAATATATGTTAACTCAAGAAAATTTGTTGCAAGTATTTCCAAACGTATAATCTTTCTTTGCACGTTTACCAGCAGAATGAAGTAACCCAGTGTATCAGATGTGTCTTAATTAATTGGTATTATTGAATTAAAGGAAAAGAAAAATTCTTCAGAGTGCTTTGTACTTTTTTCAATATGTGTGTATTTTAATATGCTGTACGGTGTATGTGAATAGGGATTTAAAATAAACTCTCATTAAAGTTTGTCATCAATGTATTCAGCTCAGTTTACTTGCTCTGTGCCTGCTCATATTTTTTTAAGAACTGGGTTTTCCCTACTCCAGTGTGATAATTAAACTTCACAGAGAGCGATGTAATGTACGTTTACCGAAAAAATTTTGCTCCCCCTAAAAGGGAAGAGGGTGCTATTACTAAAATTGGGTTGGGAAAAAACTTGTAGAGGGCGCTATACTCGAAAAGTGGGGTATTTACAAAACAACAGAGGGCGCCATTGATAGAACCTTTTTTCGTGGAAATTCTGAGTGGGTCAAAAGAGGGCGGGAATACGACCACGACCAACCAGCAAAAATCGAGCAAATGAACAACGGACATGACGGAGAGACCGGAAACCAGTCTAGTTCTACACCACCCTGATTCCAAAAGTGGGACTGAGAACTAGTCTAACTGAACTGAATCTGCTTGCCCTGATGAAGGTACTCAGTTACCGAAAGCTCAGCAATCACATATTTTAGAGCACTGATTTGACATTATATTCTTGTCGAAATTATGGGCTAACTTTGTTAGTTCATAGAGGGCGCTATAAAACGTCAGGAAAGGGCACTATATATCAAATCAGTAGAGGGCGCTCTTCATTTTTTCAATAGAGGGCGCCAAATATTGGGGGAACCCTCTGTTACGTTTGCGTGCAAATCAATGAGGAAAATCCAAGGCCAACGTAAAGTTACAATGTAAAAAGCAGCATTTGAAATTGAAACGTTTACACCTCTG